ATCATATAGGTTTCAGATATCGGTTTCTATGTTACAAGATCTGTATATTGCACTGTGTGCTCACCACCCAAAGTCAAATCTCCTGTCACCTTATTTTAGGACCCCTATTCTCCACATCCCCTTCCGTCTGGCAACACCACACTGCTGTTTGTGCTCACAAGTTTCAGTTTTATATCCCACACATGAGTGAAATTGTATGGTTCTTAGCATAATGTTCTCAAGTTCCATCCATGTTGTTGCAGATGGTGCTATTTCATCCTTTCTTGTGGCTGGGTAGAATTCCACTGTATATACGTACCACATCTTCTTTATTCAGGCCTCTATCGCAGGGCAATTTGGTTGTGTCCATGTTTTGGTCATCATGATAGTGCTGCAATGAACATATATCTTTGCAAATATATGATTTTGAGTTTTTCAGGTATATGCCCAGAAGAGGTCATATGGCAGGTAGCTCTATTCTTAGTTTTTTTTGAGGAATCGCCAGACTGCTTTCCATAATGTGTACACCAGTCTGTATTCCCTCCGGCAGTGTATGAGGGTTCCCTTTTATTCCCACAACTTCTCCAACACTTGTTATTGCTTGTCTTGTTGTGTGAGATGTTATCTCATTGTAGTTTGATTTGTATTGTCCTAATTGCTAGTGAGGTTGAACATTTTTTTCATATATCTATGGGATGTTCAAATGTCTTCTTGGGAGAGGTGTATTTTCAGGTCCTCAGCCCACTCTTTGATTGAGTTGTTTGGTGTTGAATTTTATGAGTTCTTTATATATTTTGGATATTGCATATTTTGTCTGCCACATATTCTCTCTTTTATTCTTCTGGGATTCTAACTACATATAGGTTATCTGGCTTAAGACTATCCTGAAGATCACTGAGGGTCTATATTTATTTAGATATTTTTATCTTTGTTTTAGGGACTAGATAATTTCTACTCTTTAGTCTTCAAATTTTATGACATTCCTTTTGTCATCTATAACCTGTTAAATGCATCCAGTATTTCAGATTTTTCACTTATTTCAGATATTGCACTGTAAAGTTTTTAAATGTCCATTTAATTCTATTTAAAGGTTCGTTTCTCTGATAAGATTTACCATGTGTGTTTTTTTCATTATGACCATCTTTATAAGAGATATTTATAATAGATAGTTTTCAGTCTTTGCCTGCTAATTAGACCATCTGGATTATCTTTAAGTAATTTCTATTTACAACTTTTTCTCTTAATTAGGAGTCATCTTTTCCCATTTTTCTTTACATGTCTAATAATTGCTGAGGCTTATTGGAAATCATGGATAATTTATGATATAGAACTTATGTTCTATTATTATAGTTCCCTCCAAAGACTGTTTTTGTTTTAGCAAGTTGCAAACTACTGGCCAGTCACCTTGCATTTAAGGAAGCTTGGATTTATACTGGATAAATGGAACTAATCCAGATTTACTGTGTTCTAAATTGAATCTCTTAATCACGAAACATTGTTTGCTCCTATCATGGCCCTTTTGGGCTTTTATAGAAAGCCTGGCTTGTTGATCAATCAGCACCTGAAATTTCTGCTCAGATCTTTCAACCTTCAAACTATGACTATTTATTTAGTCTTCTCAGACACCCAAAATCAGCCAAAGGTTTGAGGGAAGTTCATATTCTGATGCCTTTTTTCTAGATATTTTCTCTTGAATTTCCAGATAGTCCAACAGCCCTAAAAATTATTCTCTGGCATCTGGGGCCTATCAGATGTTTGCTTTTTGAGTGAGTCACAGTTATCCTAAGACACAGTCTAGGCAGCACCCTATGTGGAAATGCCAAGTAAAAATGAATCTCTCACAGTACATTTCCCTCCTTTCAAAGATTGAAGCCCTCTGTGTCTGCCTGATATTTGTCACACTCCATTGCTTCAAATAGTTATTTTTATATTTTTCTAGATTTTATAGTTACCTATCAGAGGGTTAGTCTTTTATAAGCAACTATGCCATTACCGAAACCAGAACCTTCATGGGATATTTTATTAACATAATTACTATCCTACATGTATGAACTTGATGAGAGTCCAGTGATATGGTTTGTAGAATTTCTTGTTATAGCAGAATATATTGATATGGAATAAGAAAAATATTCCTGGAAATTTTGAAAAATATAAAGTCCCTTTCTAAAAACATGTTCGTGACAACCATAGCAATGGTTTCTTTAGTATAGGATTCTAGTGCTATGCTCATACTCAATGGCAAAAGGTTCTAGAAAATCCCTAACTCAATGCTCAAAAGCCATACACTTTTAGAAACTGATACTCTTAGGCACTAGGACAACCCTCCTTTTATTGGGTCACTGGATTGGGAAAGGGCATGTAACCAGGTTATGGTCAAAAAGTCTCTTCCTCTGACCACAATGACAAGGCTTCATGATGCCACTAGAGACTCAAGAGATGGCTGAGACTCTCTCTTGCTGTGAGAATAAGAGCTCTGCTCCTGTAGGTTTCTTGGTTTGAAAAAATAAAAAAAAGAGAGAGCTCTGCTTAATAACAATTTGTAATGGGAAAGGATGAGGTGAAATGGATAATCTTCTTGGATAAATACTGGATTTTTCCTCATTTGGTGCTTCAACAAAGCCTAAAATATCAAAATCCTTTCTACTTTTTATCTTGCAGGAACAGACACTTTTGATTTTATCATAGTAAGGTATAATACATTTTCAGTTCTCTATAGTCAATTCTTGAGAGAAAATATCGACTAGAAGATGAGTCTTAGAGTCAGACTAACCTGAATTTCTATTTCAGCTATCCCATTTATTAGCTGTGTGATGTTGGATATGATATTTAAGCTTTCTAAACTTCAGCTTCTGAATCTTAAACATCTATTAATAGTGAACCTACAGGGGATGCTGCGAGGTTGGCAATGTGTTTGAAGTGCTTGGCAAAGTGTCTGACAGAGTATGGGCTAATGCAGTAGAGGGATATTATTACCTTACAATTGTTAATCATCATTGTTTGTTAGCTAGTTGAGGAAAGTAAGGTGCAAGGAATTTAAAAAATAAGCTACAATTCCATCATGTATATGTACCACAATTTTTTAATCCATTTGTCTGTTTGTTGGCCATAAAAATAAAAAAAAATGAAATCTTAAGCATTTGGGATCCTGTGGTGGACCTAGAGTATACCATCCTAAATGAAATAAGTCAGAGAGAGAAAGATAGTTACCATATGATTTCACTTATATGTGGAATCTATGATAAAAAACAAACTAAACAAATGAATAGAATAGAAACAGACTCTTAGATACAGGGAACAAACTGATGGTTGCCAGATGGGAGGGGAGTGGAGGGAGGCTGGGTGAAAAAGGTGAAGGGATTTAGAAGTACAAATTGAGATGTGAGAGTGATCTGGCTGTGACATCTGTCAACCCATTGATTGCAAGGGTTGATTTGGCTGATCTGGCTGCCTAGGCGGGTGTCTCCCTCCTCACTCACCAGTCCATGTGCATCCCTCCCTAAGCTGCATGCTTCATAGTAAAAAAGGATGACTTTCACCCCAGAGGAGAGGACCTGACAGTCTTCAGTCAAGGTGCTCCTCTGCTAGAAGCTCCAAACAAGCTCTCAAGGAGTACAAATTGGTGGATGCAAAATAGTCATGGTGCTGTAAAGAACAGCATATGGAATATAGTTATATTACTATCGTAATAACTATGTATGGTGTCAGATGGGTATGCGATTTATCAGGATGACTTAGGAAGTTATATAATGTCTAATCACTGAGTTGTACACCTGTAGCTAATATAATATTGTATGTCAACTGTAATTGAAAAAAATTAAATAAAAAGAATAAGATAGGATTTTTTTTCTGTTTTATAATATACTACATTGTTATTATAAGGAGTCCCAGATTGGAGAGGGTGCAGGCTGGGCTGAGGGATACACCCCCACCCCGTGCACAGATTTTGTGCACTGGGCCTCTAGTTTTGTTATAAAAACTAATGAAGCATTTTGGTCCTTCCTTGCCTTGCCCATTTTTCTAACTTCATTTCTACATTGTTTTCTTTACCAATTTAAAATTCTCACCTAAGACTTTTTCTTTTTGTGTAGTTTCTTAACTACACAAAACTCTTCACATCAAAGCCTTCTTTATTACATTCCCTGTGCTTTTGGCCTACCTTTTCACATAGCTGTCTTGAGGTCCTGGCTTAAATATCCCTTATACAGAGAGGTCTCCCCTCACTACCCAGTTTAGTAGCTAATCTTGAATCACTCTCATGATACCAGCTAGATTGTTTCTTTTCTAGCACTGTTCATAACTTTTTATTGTATACTTGCTTGGTACTTAGTAGTTTCCTCCCCCCTCAGAAAACTAGAAGCCCTGCCCCGTGAAGGTAGTGAGCATGTCTGCTTTATTCTTCAGTATATCTAGGGCTCTAGATACCAATACCTATTTTGTGAATCCTATATAATAAAAGGCTAATAAGCAAATCGACCAAAAAGCAGAACAACCAGTCGCTATGATGCACACTGACCACCAGGGGCAGACACTCAATGCAGGAGCTGCCCCTTAGTGGTCAGTGCACTCCCACAGGTTGAGTGTCGCTCAGCCAGAAGCCAGGCTCACAGCTGGCGAGAAGAGCAGAGGTTGTGGGACCCTCTCCCTGCTCTGCCGCAGGCAGTAAGGAGCGAGGGGTCCAGGACTGCAAGAGGGCGCAGGCAGGGCTGAGGGCCCACCACCTCCAGTACATGAATCTTGTGCAATGGAACTCTAGTAAATAAATAAAAGGATGAAAGTGACCTGAGAGGAATGCCTTGGGGTAAATAAAGCTAGCCTATAATTTGCCACAAGTAACTGGATATAATCAGTTCTACTATAGTACATACATGGAAAATGATTGGGCCATTGAACTTCTAGTGGTACAGAAATAATACATAAAGCATACAATTATGCTTGTGTGTACCAATCAATAAGTGTGAGCATTTACTAATGGCTTAAACATTTATATTGTGCTTTCTCTCCTCCCCCCCCCTTTTTTTTAGAATGGCCACATCTGTTGCTCAGTGGATCCACAGTGCCTTCAGGAACTGTGAAGTTGACTGTCTCATGGGAGCTTGCTGTTCAAAGAATGTTCTTTCATTAAAAAGACCAAAAAAATAAAAAAATAAAAAAGTTAAACCTTAACATGGATGATTTGAGGGCAGCTAAGTGCAGCTTTGTTAATAGCTGAGTGAACTTTCAATTATGAAATTTGTGGAGCTTGAGAAAAATCACAAAAGGAAAATTCTTGGGGCAAAACTAGGCCAGAATTCTGCCTCTGCTGTGTCTGACATCACCGTGTGGAAGAATGGGTATGGAACACACACCGTGACTTCATGATCACTGGATATACAGCTTGGACCTGGCAGAGCTCTGAAGGCCTCTAGCTTCACTGGTGCAGAAAATGTTTCTCTAGATCAGAATCTTCATGAATCAGTTAGGGTCCTCACTGCCAAAAATAAAATGCCAGGCAGTGAATGAATTATATTTTCAGAAGCAAAGCAAGAAGCTATAACGTGTTATGTACAGTATACACTATGAAAAGCAACCTGACACAAGTTATTGTAATGATAAAAATAATGCACAGGCATGGTTACTTAATATTTTCTAAAAGGAAAAGTCATCCCTATTTCCTTGTTTTAATGCACTTCATATTATTTGGTTGAATTTGTTCAGTATAAGCTCGTTCTTGTGCGGAAGTAAATAAATATTTCTCTTACCTTATCATGTGTCCCAGTGTCTTGTTTAACGTGTGCCTTTTTCCCACGGATTCGTTAACATACAGATCGCTCTCTAGTTCTGCTGAGGAGACTCCCACCATGCCAGCTGCAAACTGAAAGGTGATTTTCACTAACTTATACACCTCTGTAGGGATGGAATGAATGCCTTTATTCTACGTCTCTAGTCACCTTTTCTGCCCTGATCTGTCAAAACCATATGAATAAGTTCTCTTGTCCTCTGGATCCTGGTGTGGTTTGACCAGGGAATATCAGAAGGAGGTCAAGTTTGCAGGCTGTCTTCCCGTCAGATCACTCTCATGAGTAGTTGTGTCACCTTACTGAAGGCGACACCCCCTGACAGGTGCCCCTCTTTATTCAGCTGCCCTCTTCCGGGTCTGATCACTTCCATTTGCTTCCTGTGGCTTAGGGATCAGAACAAGGCTGGCCATTTTTGTCCTCAGGAGGTACCTGCTCTATTTCCTGTTGGTTTCTTATTGTCTGTCACATCTTTACAAATGGTCCTTTTGTTATACTCTGGTAAATTGGCATGCTTGAGTCTGCCATCTGCTTTCTGTCAGGACTCTAACTGATACACACAGGAGAAGAGGGGAAGAAAAGAGGAGGGGAAGAGGGGAGAGGAGAGGGTTGGGAAGGTCTTAAGAATTGGTCATTCACACTTGAATATAAAAATGTAAAGAATCCCAATGTGAGGAGGAATTATTATATTACATGTTAAATTGTTGATGTACTAGAATCTCAGGAAGAAAGAAGTAAACTGCTTGATACACAATATTGCCCTATTCATGTATTGCTTTAGGGTGAAAGGAAATAAAAATATCAAATTAAATTTTAGTAGCATAGACTTTTTCTTTTTAAAATATATTTTTATTGATTTCAGAGAAGAAGGGAGAGGGAAAGAGAGAGAGAGAGAGAGAGAGAGAGAGAGAGAGAGAGAGAGAGAGAGAGAAACATCAGCTGCCTCCTGCATGCCTCTTACTGGGGATGGAGCCTGACACCCAGGCATGTGCACTGCCCAGGAATCGAACTGTGACCTCCTATTTTATAGTTCAGCACTCAACCACTGAGCCACACCAGATGGGAGAGAATTTTTCTTTAATGAAAATGGATAGGATATGACAAACCCAAGCTATAGAAATGGTAAAATGACATTTAACTATCCCTTCTCCATTGCTATGGGAACAATCTGACATGAGCTGAGCTGAAGGATAATTTATAAATATCTTAATACTTTGGCATGTATAATAATCATTGAATGTGTAAACTCAAATATGTCTCTATATTCCCTAAATTTATCATAAATGAATTTTTTCTTCAGCCTTTTTATATATAAAAATTTTAAATTTCAGCAGAGTGTAAGATTTATTTTATCACCTGTTATTTACTATGGTAAATAGCAATACTCTGCAAAAGGGTATTAATTTAAAGTTTTCCCATGTGATTATTATTTTTGTATATAGGTTTGAAGTTTCATATTAAATTTTCCTGAAAATTAATATATGTTTGCATTTATGAGGGAATCAAGAAATACTACACAAACAAACACACACACACACTCATTATCTTCATCCATATAGTTATATATATTCATATAGATATATATGCCTTTTGAAAGAAGAAGTAAGGCTGAAATTGCATATTATCAGTGCGTTATAAATCTTTGTAAGGCTCTGAGAACTTTTGTGGTTTGCAGACCTTTATTTCTATAGACTGCTAAAAGAAAATAAACTCTCATAACACTGAGAAGAAAAGAGATAGAAGAATATAAGATCATGTTCTTCAAAGGACCATTAAAGCAACAAATGTGCTTAGATTGAATTTTTTTCCCTTCAAGGTTTATCCCATAAATAATAGATTCCCAGGAGAATTACTGTTTATCCCAACAAGAAGTAATCAATTGCTTCTTAAAAACTTTGTTCCTTGAAAAAGAGGTGGCTAGTACCCTATTTTTTACTCTGGAGGTAATTGGCAAAATGCCATGGTTGAATTATGCCAGTGTTATGGGAAAATGAGAGCTAAGAAGCATGAATATAATTTGAGGGTACTTGGCTCTTTTAAGAGCAGCCCTTGGTTGAGACAGTGTTTATTATATTTCCTTTATTTCCCTCTCTGAATAAAAAGGCACAAAAACATTGAATTGTGATTCTTTGATAATTCATATATAGTAACCCATGTCTCTCTTTCAAAAGACTGCCATATTGCTTCTTCCCTTTACCTTTTGCACTGATAAAGAGAATGTTGGATTTGTCTGATTACACTGCAATATCATGGAACTCCATTCATTCCCCCAATTACTTGGTTAACTATAACCAAAGTTGAGATCTCCTAGAATTGCCTTTAAAAAATAAACGGGCCTGGCCGATATGGCTCGGTAGTTGAGCATTGACCTATGTGTCAGGAGGTCAAGGTTCCATTCCCAGTCAGCATATGCTTGGGTTGTGGGCTCAATCCCCAGTAGAGACCATGTAGGAGGCAGCATATCAATGATTTATTTCATCATTGATATTTATATCTCTCCATCTCTCTGAAATCAATTATATATATATCATACACACACACACATAATGAATGGTATATTACAGCTCTAAAACAGCAATCAATACTCTGAGTCTTGGAGTAGCAGAGGTTATCCAGTTGAACAATGCTGAGGTGACATGTGCTGAATAAAAAATAAGCTTCAATTCACGAAGCATTACCTCAGCTATCAAAGTCAACATTGCTGACTACTTAGGAATTCCTCTGAAGGTCAGCAGCACCTTCAAGTCCTGGTGCTCTAGCACTAAGCATTGATGAGAACAGCTTTTTCTTTTCTTTTTCTTTTAGCAAACCTTAGGTTTTTAAATGTGAACACTAGTGATGCAGCAGTAGACTGAGCTCTAAGAGAGTGCTGCCGAAAGGATGCCAAAGGCAGTAAGTGAACGCTGTGCTCTGTATGCCCCGCATTCACTGTGGAGCCTGATGCTCCCCTTTGCGGTAGTCCCGTACAGTGAGGTTGACTCATTGTGCTCTTCCTGACCTTTCATGACAATGTACTGTTTTCTGACCTAGAATTCAATATCTTCCATAAAGGATTTGTCACCTCCTTGCAGAGTAATTGCCCTTACTTAATAGACCTGCCGGAAGAAAGGCAGAGATGCTTTGAACTGTAGTGGCTCTGGAACTGTAGCAAACTAAATTGGCCAAGAATAGAACCATTTGGGGAGATTTCCATATGATAATCTGAGTTGCATTTTCCTGTGTACCTTGTACTGGCCAGAAAACTGGGGCGGCTCTTCCAAACTTCCTGTCTTTGTACTAGGATCAAATTCTTGTTCATAGAGACAGTTTGCATGACAGAATCTGAAATTCTCTTTTATTGTGTATGAAAAATGACATATTACTGTCACTACCAAAACATTGCATTTAAAACATGCTTTCCTATTTATCTCCAGTATTAGTTGTTTTAAAATAACACTCTGGAATGAGTGTGACTATATTTTAGGAGTAGAGATGATGTCAATTGTTGAGCAATTTTCTTTCTTTCCCATGAAAACAGAACTTTAAATAGGGAAAATATAGAAAATAGAAACTTCTAAAGTATACATAAGGAATCCAGGAATAACTCTATCAAGAGAAATGCATGGCCTTATGGAGAAAAATATCAAACCTCATTGAACAAATATTTTTTGAGGACCTCCCATGTACTAGGAGCTGTTGTAGGCACCATGTGTGAAGCTTACACAATGAGCCAATTTCCTTGCAACAGTCAGTGCACTATAGTGCTGGAGCGCCCAGGTACTGCAGCGAATAAAGCAGGAACAAAGCATAAGCACTTCTCATAGAGTTCATATCCTGATGGGGGGAAGAAAGTTAACAAATAGACAGATGCCATGCTAGGTGGGAGTAAATGCTATCCATAAAAATTAAGTTGGGTTATAGTGGTTAAGTTGGGTTAACATGGACAGGGCTGACAGTTTAGATGGGATGGGCAGGAAGTCCTCTCTAAGATAAAGTGACATTGGAGCAGATACTTGAGTGAAGTGAAGGGTGAACCATCTGCATACCTGGAAGGAGAGAATTATAGGCAGAGGAGAGCGGTGCATGACCAGGTTTAAGATAGGAGTATGGTTTTATGCGACTTGAGTGAAGTGAGCAGTGACACTCAAAGAAGATGTGGTCAAAGGAGTGGCTGGTGAGCACCTTATCCCGAGGCCATGGTAGAGACCCCTGTTTTTATCCTCAGTGAGACAGGATCTTTAGAGATGTTTGAGCATAGCTGCAGCATACTCTGATTGACAGTAAAAGGGAGCACTCCTGCCACCATGCGGGGAATAGAC